ATTTGACGTCACAATTCAAAATGGCGTCAAAAATGAAATTTATATAATTAATAATAAATCCTTATCTCCAAATAGCGGATGCCAAACCACTGTTAAGTCACGCCCACCTCCTTATCACCAGCTTCCTTTCCCTTATCTCTAGTTCGCTGCTTTCACTACCGCTTATCAGTAGAGGGCGCTTATTATCTCTAGTTCGTTGCTTTTACTACCGCTTATCAGTAGAGGGCGCTATTTGCAAATGGCCGACATCCGACGACCGCCCATTAGCTATTTGCAGGGGGCCTATCAGCCAACCACCGGCCTATCTACAGCCAATCACACTCTACTGGGCGGGGTTTTGCAACCACAAACATCGATTAGGCCCTATTTTTTGGACCAATCGCCTTTAGGAACGCCCCCCCTTTAGGAACGCCCCCTTTAGGAACGCCCATCCAACTGTCTGGCTCACTTCCGTTCTAGAATCGGCTTAGTATATCTACTCCCCCCCCGTGCCATATTTGAAAACAATTCGTCTTAACATTATTAACTTTTGGAGAAAAGTATTCATCCAGGGCACCCAAAGTAGTCTTGTACTGATCCGAAGATAGTGTGTTATCGGATTCTGGTAACGTAAAGTAAAGTAAATTTCAAAACTTCGTTTCCATTTCTTTCATTTTATTCCAAGTAAAGCATTATCTTCATTACAATTGAACTGCGGAATGTTTTTACTTTTTATTGTAGGTTCTTTAATTCCTCGTCGCCACTGTTGTAATTTAAATGGTTGTAGCAGAAGAAAACAATTTGGAACTATATCGGTTTCCTTTATTCAGTATCTCAGATTCTTTAACCGGGAAAGAGTTGACAGTTTCCCATATTGTTGCATTTTCCTACATTGTTGCCAAACTTTTCCTACATTATAACAAAGTGTAACTAAATCTGTACACTTCGCTTTTAAAGATGCCAACTTCGTTGCATATAACAGCATTTTATCATCTTCAGTGAAAAAAATGTCCAAAGAAACGGTAATATCTGCATTATCTATCTCTTTTTTTTCTGCGTTATCATTGATGCTAAAACAAAACAAAGGGTACAAAATGTTTGATTTAAGAACCTTTCACTTGCTTCGTCAAAATCTTTAGAATAAATAGACTGTACCATTTGTTAAAAAAACATCATCCTCAGGCTCCTGATCACTTGAATTTAAACTAGAGAGTAAAGTACACTGAAAAAAATGTATGTAATTTTATTGTAAAACTATCTGTTTTTTCAAGGTATTTATATCATAAAATACATGTAAAAATAAAATTACAATTAATTTCTGTTATTTTTATAAAAACATTTTTACTATATCATTGTAAAAATATTTATTAGTTTTACTTTTTGTGTGTGAAATTACATTGTTTTTGAATTATTTTAATCCTTTTCCAATTTTACAAGTTTATTGTAAAAAAATAACCAATGAAATAAAGCAAAATACTCACGTGACAGAAACATACAATATTTTTGTAATTTTACAAACTAATTGTAAAGTTCGACCAATCAAATAAGATAAATATATCACGTGACGCTCCCGACATCTTTGAATGCTTAAAGCGTGTGCCGTTTTGTTCCTTTTTATTGTGGTAAGTATAATTTACAAATGTAATATATTTGTCAGTTAACATTTAAAGCAATTATTCGATATAATAATTATTTAAAATATCATATATTTAATTATAAATCGCATTTTAAACGCTTGAGAAAAGATTGTTTGAGGAAATTTTTAACTTATAAAAATTATATGTATGTACACATTAAACAATCACATTGCAGTGATGTTGAATATTCTTAAAAATGGCACCACGTCACCAGTTAAGTAGTGATTCCCACGAGACCAACGAGATGAGACTTTCATAAAGTCTTGTCTCGTCTCGCCGATAAAATTTAAAGTCTTGTATCAAGTCTCGTCTCGCAGCCTCCAGTCTCGTCTCGTCTCGTTTCTCGTACGAGAGTCTCGCAAAAGTATCGAAATCCCTTCATGGATAATTTTGTTCCAGTCCAGTAAGGGATGCAGGATACTTACCTACTTGCTATAATGTAAGGGTGGGAAGAGAAAATTACAACTGTAGATAACATCATCTATTTGAAATATTACTTTTACACAAAACAAAAACTTAACAATTTGTAAATAATTGAAAACAAATCTGCTAACAGCTTTCTGGGTTGCAAATATTTTTGTTTTTCACACCGTCGTTTAGGCATAACAAACATCGTGCAGATTCATTATTAAAGCGATTTCGATGTTTTCTTATAGTTAACGCAGCACGTGAAAACAATCTTTTCGCCGACTGAAGTAGATATAGTCATTTCCATATTAAATGGAAAATTGACTATATCTCAAAAAGTGTTCTACTTTTTTAACTTTTGACGACATTTTGGGATACCATGGTATTCCATGGTTAACCATGATACAAGTGAAAAAGCAGCCAATTATAACTATTAACCCATTAAGGACCGAATTAAATTATTTTATTTTATTAATGTTATTTTCATATTTTTGAATTGACTGGATAGTAAACTGACTCAAAACTTTTTTTTTTAATTTAATATACAGGGTTTAAAAAAACTCTGATACCATATGGTATCCGTGGTCTTTAAAAGATATTTTTATTGTTCATATTCAAACAATGTTTTATAGTAAAAGTAAAAACAATAAATTAATTTATTTGGTATGATAGGAAGCAAAACAACAACACAAAGTCCAACATTACATTTTTGGCACATGGTCCTACCAAATGACTTGCATCCTTCTCCAGCACAACGCCTTCTTTGGCAGGAAACAACAAAATGGTCCATTCTATCAAACCTTATATCTGGTCGATTTTTTTTGGCAATACTTATACGTCCAGGCATTTTTGGACTTACTCCATACCTAGTTAAATATACTTGAACTATCTCTCGCCTAAATTCCAGATTAGACATGTTGCGATTTTTTTTACACAGAAACCATGCGTTTTGTACAGCAACATCAATTGGCCAAGTAAAAAGTGACCAGTACCTTTTCTTTCCGCGTATTCCAATTCTGTAATTTGCTATTCCTTGGTCTTGCTGGCTGTACCTCTTTACAGATGATAATGGATGAACTCCGTCATTTGTAGATGCCATTGTGACGACTGAGTTGTCCATCCATCTAACCAGTAGAATACCATCATTCTTTTCAATAAAATATTCAAAATCTCCACGATGTTCCTTTTGAAATTGTTTTTTATTTGTTAGTGGACATGACTTCGGAATTCGATTTTCCCGAATTGTACCTACTGCACCAAAACCGAGATATTTTAGATAGGAAAGCAAATTTAGACCAGTGAATAAATTATCTATATGAATAATATATGGTAAATCTTGTTTATGTAGCTCCTGAAGCATGAGTACCAAAGGAGACGAACATTTTCCATTTTTTTAAATCTCCATTACCACGAGGATCTTTTCCCTGGTATAAGTCAAAATTTATTAGATAACCATTATTTGTGTTAAGGCTCCACATTTTTTAGCCAAAACGAATGGGTTTGCCACGGATGAACTGCTTGCATCCGCGGCGCCCATAATATCTTACCATTGACTCGTCAAATGATAAGTTTTTAACTGGCTGAAAGTGGTTCAAACATTTTTTTTAAATTTATCCATTAGTGGTCTTAACTTCCAGGCTTTGTCCCTTTCATTTACTTGTGTGTTGTCTGCCATATGAATAAATTTTTGAATTTGAAGAAACCTATTTCTCCTCATGGCATTAGCCACCATATTATTATGGACGTCTTCGTTCATGTCCCAGTACATTGCATTGACTTCTGGCGGTGTTAAGAACATTTTTTTGACTTGTTCTTGCATTTCTTCATCTTCATCAAGCATATCTAATGCTTGAGAAAGCGAAAAACCTCGTCTAAAATCACATAGTTAGATAGAATTTAAGAATTAATATAATAATCAATATGACAAAAATACCGACTGAAATGCCACGTCATCGCGCCTGTGGGATTCACAGGGTTCGGCAGGGTTAGGAGTTTTGCTACACATGTTAATTGGTTAAATTAGTAATTTTTGACTAATTCATTTTTAGAGAGGACATTTAGAAAATATAGGCACAAAATTAAATCTATTGAATCTTTAGAAATTAACAAACTTAAAAATACACTCTCGATGATCAAATCGAAAGAAGTAATTCACCACTGTTAAACCTATTTTAATTAAGATACAATAGCATTATATACATAAAACAATCACATATTTAAAATATTGCCCCTTAAATAAAATTGTTAACAATAAATAGATTAGGTATTTTCCATAAGGAATTTCGGAATACTTTTTTGAATATTATGTAACACAGGTAGATTTAAAAAAAAATTATTACATAGAAAACCAATATTTTTGTTATATAAATTTTTCACTACTTAGTATTAGTTTTAATACATTCTGAAAAAGTTACTGTGTAGCAAAACAATTGTCAACATTCAAATAAATTACGTGAAACTTTCAAAACATAGTTGTTTTTATATTTACATAGTTAATATGGAGTTTCATCAAGTAAAGGTCGAAACAATTAATAATTGTCTTTATTTACTTACACATACATATCGCTAAATTTATGACAGTCAAAGTGGGGTGCAAAGGCGGATCCGGCGGCCTGACAAAAGAAAATGACCGTCAAACGTTTGTTTAATAACACCGAGTGACGATCAAGTCCGTGCGCAGAAATATTTTCCTGCGAGACTCTCGCACGAGACTTCAGAAGTCTCGCTCGAGACTCGAGACGAGACCAATAAAAGTATCGTCTTGTCCGGTCCAAATATCGTCTCGAGTCTCGTCTCGAAAACGAGACGAGACTCTCGAAAACGAGACTCTCGTGGGAATCACTACAGTTAAGGGTTAAATGCTTTTTAGCAATATTTTTTTAAATAAATGTAGTTAAGTTTAAATTTTTAAATTAAATAAAAAAACTTATCATAGTATATAGGTGCTTACCTATCTAAATAAATATTCTATTTTAGATTTCATACGAAGAATCTGATGAGTTAGACGGTTTAAAGTCACAGACTCCTTGTATTGTAAAGATAGGTAAGTGTTAATATATTTACATTTTTTTTTATAAAACTTCTTTACATATTTTTCTGTTCCAGCTAAAGAACTTTATATTTATATTGAAAAAAAAGATTGCTTCAATGTGCAAGTTTTTTTAAGCTTTTCAGTTAATGTTTGGACTATATTTTAAAATACCCAACTGAAGGTTCTTGTGTTTTGAAATTTATCAAAAGATATTACTTAAAATTACATCCTGACAAGTGGAAAATGAAAAAAAAGGTATTAACTTGACTTAAATGAATAAATAAAAAAAATTGAAATGGTAAATTTATTAAATAGTGAATTTTGTTTAAGTTAAAAAAATTTGTTTCACATTTAACGAGTTTTTCTTTTGATGAGCTCTTTTTAAATTTACCATTTTAAAATTTTTAGATAAGTTGCCATTTTATTTAAACAATTATTTTATTTTAACTTTGTATTTTTATGTCATATTTTTCTTGAAATTGTGTTAATTTTGGTCTGTGCTTAATTTTTATTATTGTGGTAGATACATACAAAAATAAAAATAATAAAAAAATAAAAGCAGACCAAAATTAAGAAGAGTTGTAAAAAGTTTTAAATAAACAATTAATTAGCATATTGCTTTATTTTCAATCATACAATAGGCGAAAAAATCTAGATCTCACTTGGTATGTAAACTCCATAATAACATGTATAAATTAATTTTATGGCCAATATTACGTTCAGAGATCTGACAGTGTTGCCGCTATTTTTTTAAATATTTTAACACGTTTTTAACTCGCCTTCTTGTCTATCTGCCTGTTTGTTCGGTACAAAATTTGCATGCGATTTTACACCTACTTCCACCCAACTGATTGGGCTGAAATTTTGCACACACTTTTGACACTAGTGACAATACAATCTAGTATACTCAATATTGTAATTTGTTCAAAATGGGCGCCGCTACAAGATGGCGGATCCGCGGATTAGCTCTTTCTTTACAATTGTGGGTCAACGCACTTTATGTGGGTATCAATGAAAGGGTTTGACGAGTATACCACGATATAGTTATCGACGTTATACTAAATCCAATATGGCGACTTCCCCCAGGATGGCGGATTACCATTTTTTACAACCCCCTTGATATGGGTATCAAATGAAAGGGTTTGATGGGTATAAAACGATTAAGTGAATAATGTAAAACTAAATCCAATATGGCGGCCATTCCAAGATGGGGAATTACCTTTATCTTTACCACCCCCTTGTTATATATATATATATATTAAAAGAAAGGGTTTGATAAGTAAAAACGATGAAGTGATCAACGTTTTACTAAATTCAATATGGCGGCTGCCCCAAGATGGCGGGTTACCTTTTTCTTTACAACCTCCTTGATATGGGTATCAAATGAAAGGGTTTGATAGGTATAAAACGATTAAGTAAGTAAGGAATCACTAAATCCAATATGGCGGCCATTCCAAGATGGGGAATTACCTTTATCTTTACAACCCCCTTGATATGTATATTAAATGAAAGGGTTTGATAAGTACAAAACGATAAAGTTATTGACGTTATACTAAATCCAATATGGCGGCTGCTCCAAGATGGCGTATTACCTTTTTCTTTACAACCCCCTTGATATGAGTATTAAATGAAAGGGTTTGGTGGGTATAAAGTAAGTAAGGTACAACTAAATCCAATATGGCGGCCATCCCAAGATGGCGAATTACCTTTATCTTTACAACCCCCTTGTTATGTATATCAAATGAAAGGGCTTGATGAGTACAAAACGATGAAGTGAGTCATACTTAATTTAGCATGGCGGCCACCCCAAGATGGCAGAATATATATTTTTTCACAACCTCCTTGAAATGGGTATCAAATAAAGAGATTTCTCGAGACGTATACGTGAAGTCAATCCAATTTAAAAATGGCGGACTACCAAATAAACAGACTAAAAAGTAAAAAAAATAGTTTAAAAAACTATTATAACGCGTTTTTGGGTTACATTTAATTAAAAAGCATTTACTTAAGTATGCAACTTGTACTTATACATGTACTTGTAATTTTAACTTATTTTTTCAAAGGACCCCACGCTTTTTGAAAGCCATTTAAAATTAAGAAGCGAAAAAATTAATTCATCCTAGTGCGTTAAAACGTGTTTTTTAAACGATTTATTTTAGGTAGGTGGTGAAGTATGCTTTAAAGTCAAAGTGTCAACAGCTGTTGGGGGTACGCTAAAAAATACAACAAGAGAGAGAAAAAATGCAGGAGACAAAAAGTTGTACCTTAAATAATTATTGCCTAATCTAAAAATATTATTTAACTAATAGAAAAGGCAGTAGCGTGCCCAAATTTTATTTTTTAATATCTAGTTGGGTTTACTAGCGCCGCTTCTGTATTAAATCAATAAGCTTAATCTCAATATTTCCAAATGCAAGGTTGTATCATACACATTAAAAAAACTACACATTATTAACTATAATTATAGACTTCATTCAATTACTTTAGAGAAATGCTCTACTATCAGAGATTTGGGTGTAATATTTGATAACAAGTTAACTTTTTCGACTCACATTGGAAATATTACCTCAAAGTCTATGAAAACTTTAGGGTTTATAGTTCGCAATACAAAGGGTTTTAAAAATTTTGAAACATTTCAATCTATTTACTTTGCATTTATTATATCTAAACTTGAATACTGCTGTATTATTTGGAATCCACAGTTTGATATCTACAAAAACAAGCTAGAAGGAATACAAAGAAAATTTTTGAAATTTGTTTCTTTTAGACTTGATGGTATTTATCCTTTTAGAGGTATTGATCACCTACAGCTTCTTAATCGGTTTTCTTTGCAATCTTTGGAGCTAAAAAGAATAATTATGCACTTGAAGTTTTTGTATGGACCAAATAGATTCTATGCTTTTACTTGAATCGGTGAATTTGCGTGTTTCATATGTTAGAAGCCGTTGTAAACTTACTTTTACCTATTCAACACCTAGAATTAATGCCATGTACAATTCGTCTATTTAAAAAATGTGTAGATACTTTGATACCTATTGTAACTCTTGTGACATAATCTATCAGAATTGTAATACTGTAGTAGCGATGCTATAAAAAACTATAATTCACTTAATTTATAATATGATAATTTAGCTTCTGTATATTTAAGTTAATGTATTTTATTTTGTTTTTTATATATTTTGTCCTGTAATTGGAACTTGTTCTGTTGGGCAATAAAGAATTATTATTATTATTATTATTATTATTATTAACTAATTAACTTTAATTACATATGTTTAATATTAAATTAAGCCCTTTACCTATTACAAAAATCCTGTATCTTAAAAATGAAGCTATAAAACATACAATTTATATACAATTTTCTTATTATTTTTGCCGATCGACTATCTACTAAATTTTTTCGAATAAAACCTGGGACACCCTGCATAGTATAATATAATAATATTATACTACTATTATGGTATTATTATATTATTAGGTATACCTAATAGGTACCCATTTACTTATTATAACGTAATTTTGATATGATATGATATGAGTTAATATACTAGTACCTATTATATACTAAATCCTATAATAGGTACTACAAGGAGTTAAAAGTCTATTTTCCACCACAACCATTCACAACAAATGTGTGATGAAAACATAATTTTACTTTTTATTTACTCTTCTATAAAATTATTCTTCATTTACTAGTTTTTTAAATATTGCAACAATTAAAATTTTGAATTAGTTGGTTTTATGTAAAATGTATTAAATTTAAAAAAAGGATTTTATTATTAAGATCATTTGGCTGTACCTATTTAAATCGAAAAATGAGTTATCTTATGATTGTATTCTATTGTACCACTGAATAAACAATAATTTATTTAATGTATTTTCAATTATTTACGGTAACTTCATTAAAAATGGTAAAATAAAATAACGGTTTAATTAATATTGAGTTTTTATTGGTAAATAACCTTATTAACATTGTTATAGGTACTAAAATATTTTAACTATCAAACTAAAATCACAACATTTATTACTGGTCCAAGTTGAAGGGGTCAATTACTTTGCTGTTTTTTTTTAAACATTGTTAAAGGTTATTTGCAATTTATTGCGCTCTATTTTTAACATTGAATTTGGAAAAAAGTGGCAAAGGAAAACATGAATTTTGCAAGGTTTGCAGTTTTTTGTGTTTTTTAATGCAAAACAGTTTTTCTAAGACAATCAATGTTAAAAAAGTTATTTCAGTTATTCAGTGTGCTCTGAATTGTCTATGTTTAATGGAACATATTTTTTTAACATTGATTTTGGAAAAAATGGCAAACATGTTTTTGAATTTTGCAAGGAATCAACCCCTTCAATTTGGGACAGTAATTTTGGGATAGGGAGCGTTCCAGTATACCCAGTATACACAAGTGTTATAGAAAAATTCTTCATCAGGATAGAGGAACTACGATAAGTCAAATTTTTCAACTTATTTTTGCACAATTGTTTAACCAAAACTGGATTCCAACTTATAGGAGTTCAAATTTTGAAAGTCTTGGCAGGATACAATCAAAAACAAATGTCACATGCAATCTGGTCATAAACAAACATGTCCATTTTTAAAAGTTGATTTTTTAAATACTGAAATTATTTTGATCATAATGGCTTATTCAGGCGTGCTAATAAGCCTAAGAGGATATACAAACCATCTTTATATTGCAAGAATTTAATGTACTTAATTTAAAAACAGTTTTTTTGCTCCTGAAAATTTTTATTAGAGGGACATATTTGGTTTTGACAGAATGCTCCTGAACTGAAAAAAAATTAATACATTTTTGTTTAGCACGAAAATGTTATTTAAGACCTTTATCCATCAATTATAAAAATATAAAATTCAAAATTTTAAAAATGTGACTTACCTACCGTAGTTTCTCTATCATGATAAAGATAAATTTTTCTATATATAATTTGTATGTACTGGGTGTCCCAAAATCATCTCTAAATTAAAGGGGTCAATTCCTTGCCAAATTCGTATTTAC